AGTCAGCGTGGCCCAGTCACCTGCGGGGAACCCCCCCATCATCCTGCTGTGCCCCTCACCCAGCAGAGCATCCCCCCATCATCCTGCTGTGCCCCCCACCCAGCAGAGCATCCCCCCATCATCCTGCTGCACCCAGCCCCAGTCCACACATGCACTAACAGAATTTCCCCTCCAGGACAAGAACTCCAAGGCTGTTAACATGTAAAGTTGTCCTATATCCATGGGGAAGGTATGGGAGGGGAAAAAAAAATTGATCCCAGAAGAAAGCTTTCCAACCAAATCTTAACTTGATTATTCAAAAACAACCTCATGTCTACACTATGTATCATGATTTGGGGAAAAAATGAGCCAAACCAACTTTAGTGCTTGACCAGCCTGTTGCAAGCAAGATTAGGAAGAAGTCTCTTACTCAGTGAATCTCATAATGCAACATGGTAGGAGTGTTGCATGTATAGCAGACCCCAGGCCAGGGTGAAATGGGGGATAGGTGGGGAGACTCTCACAGATGCAATAGGGAGCAGGAGATGTTCATCAAAGTGATGCACTTTCTGCCACCTTGCAGGCTATGAAAACCTAGAAATTGCCTCAACTCATGCCACTCCTGTCCCACGTGTACAAGCAGCGTCCCATCCCGCTCCTTCAAGTCCTGCGCTGGGCACGTGAATACCTTTCTGGCGTTGTCTGCATCAGATGCACTGTCCTTAGAGGTTCTGTTATCATCTGCAGGAAACACAGCTGCCTGTTCTGCTCCATGATCATCCTCCTCTTCCAACTCATCAGAGTCTTCCTCTTCAGAGTCTACGTCCATGCTTTCCCCGTTCACGTGAGGGCTGGCATCACCCAGGTCCTTTTCGCTCTGAAAGTCGTCCAAGCACACGAGCAACAGAGACAACATCAATTCATAGGACAGAGCAGCTGAATCCATCCCAAACTGCCTCTGTGCTAGGAGCCTTCAAGCTGCCAGGGGAAAGGTGGCTAGATGTCCCTCTAGAGCTCTTCAAAGCTGCCAGCAAAGCCAGCCTGAGCACCTGCCATGTGTCACCTAATCCTGTTGATATGGGGACTGAGGAGCCACGAGGAGTCATTCCAAACTCACATGATTGTACAAGACATTAAGGGGAGGAGAGCTGCTGGGCAGGAGCCTTCAGACAGACCCTTGTGGTCTAATTCAAACATGGAAGAGCAGCTGCATCAAGGCTGCAAGAAGGTTTCTAGGGAATGGAAAGGAAAGTTAAATCACAGAAGGATTTTCACTCCACTCCATGAAAGTCTAGCACTATTCTTCCTGAATTCAAAGCCCAAAACTCCAGGGCATGGGTTGCAGCAAAAGTAGAATCTGATCAGGAGTGAGTCACTGTCTAAAACTTTTTAAGTAACCAGTGGTTTTGCTGCACACTCTCCAGCAGCAACACTACATGGTTACCTTGAGGACACCGAAACAAAAAGGTTACCACGTGGGGTACACTTGAAATCTCTCCAGTTCCACAGGACTCATGGGACAGAAGGGGAACATTCACTAGAAAATGTTTAAAGGTTGGTATCTGAGCAGCCCACTCTCAAAAAGCCAATTTCAAAGCAGCAAGGCTGCTACAGGCAGGATGCTGTTGCCAGAGAGAAGATGTAGACTCAGAAGAGAAGATGCTGACCACAACAAGCCAGCACGTTCCTGTGCCTATATACATGGGGTTGATCTGCCAGGACAAGGGACATGTATGGTGACAACAAACACATCCAGTGGGGCTCTGTGCTCCCCTTACCTTGGCACCCGCAGAGGAATGAGTTATGCTCTTAAACATCTCAATCATTGTTCTCTGTTTTAACACTTTGGCCTTTTTCTTGGGAACCAGGCTATAGGTTCCCATTCTCCTTTTTTTCTTCCGAGATACTGCAGCAGCTAGAAACGAGAAGCAAAAGGAACCAAAAGTTTGCTCAGGAATGACAAGAAGAAAGGATAGAGAGTGGAGGCCTACTGGGGGGAAATTGCATTTGTGGGCATGACCTGAGAGAAAGGCTTCCCACTCCCAACTAATTTATTTACAAGTCAACTAAAAGATGACACACACACACACACACACATGCAAACACACAAAGAGCTTTCTGACAGGGTTGCAAACCCACCCAAATTCTAAGTATCCTCTCCACGCACTTTCTAGCCCCTAAATCACCATACACAATATCAAATCCTTAAATTAACCTGTGTTTGGCAGTATGGCTGATGCTGTAGGAGGCTGAATAGAATCCAACTTGCTCAAATAAATACCACAAGGCTAATAATACCGACTTACAAGGAAAGTGATCGTACAGTAACTGAAGAACACACAGGGAAAAGGTGCCTTAAATAAAGAGCTGTTTGCCATTTAACCCCATTTCACACCTACTACAGAAGTTTGTTTGATTCCTTTCACTACTTTGATAAGGTCTTAATTTGTTGAGTCTCCCTCCTGGTCTTCTAATCAAATCAGTCATCACACCTCGCTGCCTGACTCTGCCTTTGGTGAATACACATCAGAAGGATGCTCAGTGCAGGCTGGTTTACAGCAGGGAACAGCCAGCTTCAGTAGCAGCGTTATGGTTTGCAGCTGTCTGGTCTGTTCCTTGAAAGCATTTCTTCATCTCCAACTATGATGGAATTTCACTAAAAATCTATGAAGAGACATCTCCAAAAATCTGTTAACCCAATTAAATATCTTTACAAGGATGTAGTTTATGGTAACAGGTTGTTGTGGTGATATACAAGCCCTCAGAATTGGTAGAAACATCTTCAGAATATCACCTAGGAAGATGTGATGAAATTGTCTCCTCTAATAACTCCTGCTGATGGCAGGTGGGTTGGAACTGGATGATCTTTAAGGTCCCTTCCAATCCAAACCAGTCTGGGATTCTATAATAGGTTTTAGCAGAAGAGTGATCCTCGGTGTGGTGGTGCCTGACAGAGCTCACCTACCTGCTCCTGTTGTCTGAGAGGGAGGGACCTGCAGAGCAGAAACTGGCTGACTTCACTTGGGAGGCTATTTGAACAGAGGACTGCAAGGATGTACCCTCTACAACACCCAGAGGTGACCAGAAGGGACTCCAGAGGACTTGCAGAGAAGTGGTCACATGAAACAGCATCTGTCAGACAAGGTCTGTGGCACTGACCCTACAGATGCCAGCACGGAAGGAAACGCTGAGGAGATTCAGTGGGGAAAAAGGTACTAACAGAGGTTTCAGTCCTGGTTAACCTGCCTCATCTCCCACCCAACCACACATCATACACAACACCTTTGGGAAGTGGGTGCCGCTGGGGATTTTAACTCTGTCCTTGTCACCTGTCTGCGACTTTGTGGTGGCCACATAGCTCTGGTTCTGAGGTAGTGACTGGTGAAGGCCTGGGAGAGAGGGCAATGGCAACGGCTTCCCAAACTCCAGGATGTTTTTGTTGCCTTCCTCCTTGGATTCTTTTTGATCTCTGCTGTCTCTCCCATCTTTGGGGTCTTTACTTGCATGCTGGAAAACAAAATGCAGTTAAATTGAGCCTCTGCATTAAAAAAAATAAAAAAATAAATAAAAAAATAAATCAGAAAATAAATTTAATTCCTTTCTGTAAAGCATAATCACTTTCATTTGAAGGCAGGACCACACATTCAGAGCAAAAGCACACAGCCCCTCCTCTAGCACATCACGTTACTTTGTCTAAAGACTGCAAAGCACTCCCAGCTTGCTGCTCCTCCAAAGGAGCTGCCTTTGAAGGGGAGAGGCCACCTTGGAGAGGCAGAGTTGGCAGACCCAAAGCAACTGCAGGTAAGGAGAAGGATCAGACACTATTTACACAGGCATTTGGTTGGCTCTAGAGAAGACCAACAAATGCAACAAATACACCTATTTCCCCAAACACACCCCGAGTGTGGCTGTCACTTCAAGCAGAGAAGAGTCTTGTAGAGACGTTTCAGAAGAGCAGGCAGCAACGGGAAGGGATCCTTCCTTTCAAACAGCATTTGGCACAATCAAGCCTTAGCAAAGGCTCCCAGCTCTAGCCTAGCACACAACAAAACACAAGCCAAGATGGTATTCACTGGACCTTGCAGGTTCATCTACTGCTGCAGCAAAGACCCATCCAAGCTCACTTGAAACCAGCCGGCGCAAGGACTCAACACCAAACACGGGATGGGCTACAAGCTCCTCCTGAACCCAAGAGAAAGGTGTAGTTGCTCCTGTACTCCCTGTCACTGGAGCCAGGCTCCCAGGGAGCTGATCTGAGCTTGTACTCAATACAAAGTCTCATCTTTGGTCATGAAAGTAGAGTTCCTACAGCTCCACATCTCACGTTGCTGCACCTTTCGTGACAACCACCCTCTTACCAGAGAGCAGGGTGAATGTGGCCACTCCGATCTCACATTTTACACTGGATTTGTCCTCAGATGTATTTAACAGATGACCCAGGTGCATCCACACCTCTCCATACATCTGTCCACTCAACTATCAAGTAGGAGGCAGGTTTGCCAGAGATGCTCTAGAAAACCAAGAGCACAGTGAGCAGATGACAGGCTCTGCGGTGGCGACGTTTTAGCGCTGCTCCACTTGCAGAAAAATCCTTCTTATGGGACTTCTGAAACAACAGCTGAAATAGCAAACCAGAAAGAGAAATCCAGGCAAAAGAAAGGAATAAAAAGCAGTAAGCAATAAAAACCCTCTTGAAAGTTCAAGTTCAGATCAGCACTTTTAGACCCTGCCTTCAAGTAATGTGACTTTGTGAACAAATGACAAAGCGACTGATTCTCCTAACGACAGCTCGGCCGCGTGCTCAGCGCCGGCAGGAGAAGGGGACTCGGTCCCAGACAGAAAAAGCTGTAATGAGAATCAAAAATGACCTGCAGGAAAAGGCCATCCAATTGCCAATGATTCTTGCCATCAAGCCTGTAACTTATGGCTGAATTCCCACATCTTTTCTTAAAAGGCAGCTAGGCTTGGATTAACGATTTCAAAGACGACAAATCTACCAAGATCCTTTGATATGTTGTTCCAACGCTTAATTGCTCTCGCTGTCAAATAATTAAATGCATTATGCTTTTTCAACTAAATTAAAAAGCTCTGTATCATCAGAAACTCTCACTCCAAGTAGATACTTATGGACTATAACCAACTATTATTTTTTTTTCCTCTTTCTCTTCAATAACTTTAATAAGAATGAGCAAACTAAGCATCCATAGAATCATTTTTTGGACATTGGATCACTTTTGAGATTGCTCCCAGTTGTTCTACCCCTTAAAAAAATGTACATCAGGAATGCTGGGCACAGTTTGCCAATAATATTCTCAACAATGCTATTTATAACTCTTAAAAGTCCCTAGTTTATAAATCTAAAAGTTAACGGTAACTCTTGGCTACAGGATTATTCTGAGAATTCCCAAATCCCCTTGGAACATCCACAGCTTTCCATTTTTAACTTAAAATTAGAAAAACAGGCTTGGGAGAGGCAGAGCTGTCCTGTAAGTGCAGGTTCTTGCCACTGGTCTCTGATAAAACGTTGCTGTTACTCCCAAACATCAAGAATTCACATTCAGACCATGCCAGACTGTTTGCAAGAACATCATCCAATTTTAAATGAAAAAGGAATGTGTTATTAGTTGGGTTTTTTTTTTTTTCCTCTCCCCCTGTAATTACAATATGGAAATAAATTAAAAATCTTCAATAGGGCTGCATGACAACTGTTAAATGTGACTTTTTCATGGCAATTCTGGTAAAATAAGGGGGTTTTTTTAAATCAAATTAAGCCTTGTGAGATCTGGATTATTACTTGGAGGCATATGCAGCAATGTTAAAGAACAAGAATTCCTGCAGAGAGGTGACCAGATCTCTCAGGAAACCTGATGGCATGAGAAGCTGAGCAGACCAGCAGTGAAACATATGTATCTCTCACAGAGATGTAATTATATATAAAAACAATATTAAATCTAAGGATTGTCATAAAAAAGGATCAGCAAAGATTTGAAATCACTTATATTCAGTTTTCTCACCATCTTTCTTCATTCCTAGCTGGATAAAACAGTTCCACCTTTGCTGTTCTTATTAAATGTTACTCTTCCAGCAAGTAGAGTGTTTAGTGGATGAAACTTCATTCTTTTCCCATTTCTAATGTCTCCGAATTCTGCCAGTTCCTTAACTCGAGCTTAGAGGTACAGCCCATCCTGGTCTCCTACATGGAACTTTTCTGCTCTGCTCCAAATTTAAACATTCTTAGAAAAGAGGCTTTGCTCACCCAGCACATCGGTCTGCTGGGAAATTTCTTCTTCCTTGAAATCCCATCACAGAATCACAGAATGTTGGGGAT